GTTCAATGACCTGGGGCTCTGCAGAATCGCTGGCAAACCCACCAAGGCAGGGCAGCAGTGCCTGCCTGGGGACTGGCGATGCTTCCCCAGCTCACGGGAGAGCTCACAGGCTCTGAGCAAGTCTGTTGAGATGCTCCAGCCCTCCTCGCCCCTCTGGGAAGGGACAAAGCCTGAGGCCATCAGTATAGGCATCCCCTAAATGTAGGCAGCACAGTGCAGAGGGCTGACTGGGACTGCCCACAGCATGAGTGAGCCATCAGTTTCCCAAAGTCTCTCCCAAGCACCATGGCTGTGGATGTACAAAGAGGTGAACACACGGGTCAGCTTCAGCACGCGCGGTTGAGCGCCGCAAGTCACAGCCCAGTGGAAATGGGAGCTCGTGATCCTCCCACCACTGCATGCTGTCCCTGCGGGAGGAGAAGACCCAATAACTCTTTGGCTCTCTGGGCAAGATACCCAAATTGGTCAAATCCAATAGTCCAAGATCCTTCCATGTTTGGAAGCAAATTCTTGTTCCCTTGGCAAGTCTGTTTGTCCTCGAAGAGCGCGTGGGGGGTATGTGTGTGTATATATAGCCGTTATTACAAGGGTGTGCGGAAAAGCGAGTTTCTAACCAAGTTTGCTCCATATGTGGCTATAATTATGTGCCACTTCGGCCTGGGACTGACTCTACCTTCAAAAGGGAAGGGAAGAGGAGAGAAGAGGTGCTGAGACATTGGATGAGTGGCATGTGTATTGGACAGGTGGCAGATTTGTCCTGGGCCGGCACAGGAGCTCCACGATGTATCCTGGATGAGGCCACGGGGTGGGCTTTGCCCTGGTCAGTTCACGGTTGGCACCTGGTTCTGATGGAGGCTGAACTCTTTGGCTTTGAGGCGCAGGCTGGCGATGCTGTTGGCCATGTTCACCCCTTGGGTGGGTGTTGCAGTCCCACTGGAGCTGTAGGAGGGCACAGTGCTGTGGGGAGGGAGCAGGGGAGGAATGAGGAATGGCCCATGGAGGAGTGTCCATGCCCCTTGTTGTCTTGCCAACTTCCCAGGCCGGACTGGCCGTTCCCTCTTAGACATCTCCCACAAGAACAGTCAAGGCTTCAGCATTTTTATGTGGCTGGATGCATGTGGGAACCCCTCAACTATGCACTGGGAGGCCCTGCCTTGAGCTTTTGGATGAGATGGCTCGACATGCATAGCTGGGAACCAGAAGGGACCTATGCCACCTCCCATGCTGAGATGTGGGAAGGGTCAACACTAGGCCAAGCGAATCCCTCACAAGGACCAGGGCCTCTTCTCAAGCCCCAAAATGCATGGAGGCAGGGAAGCCTGCTCAGTGATGGGCAGCAGATGCTCAAACATGCTGAAATGGTTCCCAAAGCAAAGCCAGATGAGCTCCTTTTGGCCCTGTAAAACTCTCCAAATCCCCAGCAGCAGCACAGGGCTCCTGCAGCAGTGAGTGGTCCCTAGGCAGCCTGTCCCATGGCCACCTCCACTCCAGCTCCTCCAGAGCCTCCACCTACCTGTACGGGGAGGTGCTGGTCCAAGAGAGATACTCCGGGGTCAGTGCGGTGGGTCGTGGTGCCATGGGCTGCTCAATGGCTGCTTCTTGGCTGTAGGATTTGAGGAGTGATGCTGATCTGTTGGCCAACATTGCCCTCTCGTTACGGCGGAACTTGGCCCTCCGGTTCTGAAACCAAACCTGCACGGGGAGAGAAGGTGGTCAGCAGGGATATCCCAAGCATCTGTCCTACCAATCATGGTTATGTGCAGGATGAAATGAGAGAGGGGACAATCCCTGCTCCCATCTGGGGGCAAGGTAGAAGGTGTTGTTTTCTCCCACACAAACCTTTGCTCACCTGCACTCTTGCCTCGCTGAGGTTGACCCTTCTTGCCAGCTCCTCCCGCACGAAGGCGTCAGGGTAGTGTGTCCTCTCAAAGACCCTCTCCAGAGCCTGCAGCTGGCTGCTGTTGAACGTGGTGCGGTTCCTCCTCTGCTTCTTCTTCCTCTTGGCTGCTCCACGGCTTGGGCTCAGGCTCTCACCTGTGGGGAAGGCAGAGAAGAGGCCACATGAGAGCCAGACCTGTGTTAGACCCCATGACCCAGCCAGGCTCAAGTCCTCCCGGGGGTCTGCACTGCCCTACTCTGTGCCAGCTGTGCTCCTCACAGGCATTTGGGACTCTGTGGGGAGCAGCATATGTGCAACCCTGTGGTGTCCATAAGAAACAAAACTTATTTCAGGACCTTCTGCAGCTTAGGGTTAATCCAAGTATTTGTGAAGACCTGTGGTGGTTTCACATCTGGCTAAAACCACCCAGACCTGATTTTGAATACCAGTCTCAGTGGATTCTGGGGCAGTGCTTGACCCAAACTGGGAATATGTCCACAGCATGTCCTGGGCTTGGCTGATCCTAAGGGTTTAGGCCAAGCTTTCATGGATGGTGATGGAAATTCAGCACCAAAACACTTCCAAGATGTGGGTCTCTGCTCCCACCTCCAGCACCCCCCAAAGTCCTGGCTGTGGTGTGTCCCCAAGGTGACACAAGGGCTGTATTCAAACATCTGCTCATCCAACCCTGGTCTTCAGAGCTTGGAATGAACACATCTCACAGAGCTCAGCCTCCGCAGTGTTTATTTCTGGCTTTGCTGGCTCATGGAAACATGAAGCTGAGGGTGTAGTTTGGTTTCTCAGTATTGATCTTGGGCTGTCAGCCAGGCTGAGATTAATCTCCTCTTCGTCACTAATATCCTAAGGTTTAGGCAAGTTTATGAAGTCTTTTTCCGAGACACCCAGTCAGCTGCCTGCAGAGGCTTCCTGGGGAACACGAGTCACTGTCGTTCTCCCTTGTGGAGGTACTGGTTAATGATTCTTTCTGTTAATAAAGCATCTGGATCCAATCTCTACCTACTGGTGGGAAAGTATTTTGGAATTATTTGAAACGTTAATAATTTTATGACATTCTGATTCATAGCAGGGTTATATTGGAGGTTTCTGCTCTATGTCATTGCAGGGGCCATGGTGGCAGGAATCATCACTCCCTGAATATGCCCAAGAATGAAATACTTCTAATAAGCTATCATGATACTTATTAAATAGATGTGCAGGGTTTTCAGCTGATACTTGAGCAACTAACAAAATCTACTGGAAGGGGATATTAACTCTCCTTTTTAAAGATATCACCAAGCTGTTAAGCAGGAGGAAACTATGGGTTCCAAGATCTTCAACACCAGAAAAACCTTCTTGGACATTAATTCTGAATAATGCAATCCATAAAATGTCCACCAATAAGTTTTCCATCAAGTTTCTAAGGTTCCTTTGTGCCTGAGTTCACCACTCTCAAGAGCTGTCCCATCCAAAGATAAGCCATGAGGACCAGAGAAACACCAATATCTGCTGGCAGAGATATGGAGGTGAGACCTGGGCACCAACTCCATACCTGCTCTCCATCTCCCAGGCACATGTAGGGATTTTGACCATGATAGGGTCAAACTACTGGGACTATGGGGAGAGGAGAGAATCCCTGGATGTGAAGTGGAGGTAAAGGAGCTTTGTGCACCTCCCAGGGCCTTGCTGCAGCCGCCAGCATTTCTCTGGGGCTTTTATTATATTGCAGGTGCAGTTGAACCTCAGTTGACCACCCTTTGGGCTGGAAACAGCCTGTGCTCTTGTATTTGGGACATGGCTTTCTTGGTTGGGTAAAGACACCATGGATGGTGCCGTGCCTGAAATACATGTGGGTTTGAGGCCCTTTCCCCAGCCAGAAAACTGCAGGCTGCCCTTCACCACCGACCTTGTTTAAAGGCTCACAAGTAAAATTCTCAGGATTCCCTCCAGCCCTTGTTCCTGCAGCTTCAAATGTTCTGCCAGTCCCTACTTTCCAGTTGCCCCTTTTAGTTAAATTCCTTTTTTGGTCCTGTTTTCCTTCAGCGAGCTAACGAGCCGCTGGATTAAAATACATGAAGTCCAGCCATGGTTGTCCTTGAGATTTCTGGGAGCCTGGGACTGAAATGGGAACCATCAGGCTGGGAAAGAGCTACAGAATATAAGAGGGTGAGAGATGTTTCCTTGTGGGTTTATGGCCACCCCATAGGGCTTGTGGGGAAATGATGGAGCAGGGTTTGGTACAGAAAGTGCCGTTGCCAGGGGCACCCACTGACCCTCACTGAACTGGCAATGATTTCAGCAGAACCTTAGGAAATCTATAAATAAAATTTCTAAACTCCTTTTGGTTTCATCCCCAATTTAAATCTGGCTACAGCACTTTTCCGTAAGTGATGGCTTTTCTCACCCACTCTAATTTGTCTGAAAGCAAAGAGGTGGAGGAAAGGTTTCATAAATTAATTCTCAATCCCGTTCTGCAGGATCTGGTCACATTTCTGGCTGGGGAGATTTTCTATCTCCCAAAACCCATGGAGGGAAGAGCTAAAAGCCACAGGAGATGAGTGATGCTGAGCAATTCCCATATGGGGCTGGCAGGCATGCTGGGATGGAGATTTAAGACCAGAGTTGGGTCAGGATGTGTTTGAGTGCCAGTGGTTCCTGGTTTTTTTTGAGACTTGCAAACCCTGGGCCGTGCCTGGGTTGGGGCATTTTGTTCAGCCCTTATTGCTGATTTTAGTGAAGGGACCTTCCACACCTTTTGCAGGTCGTCTCTGTATGGTAGGGAGGCAGTTCCACACCTGGGGCACCTGCCTGGATCCTCTACACTGCTCAAGGATGAGCCTTAGTAATGGATCAACATCTTTTTTCCCATTAGCTCAGGCATTGCAGGCTTGTGGGACCAGAAAAATGCCACTCTCATTGCTGGCAGCATGTCTGACGAGTTTACAGTGTACAAAGTCAGGCTGGATTGCATCTATCAGGAATATTTAACAATCCAAAATCAGTTTCCCAAAAATAAGTGTCATTAAGTGCTCTGCAGTATTGGAGAGGGAATGGGGAAAGGGATGGACTGGATCCCCTGAAGAACCTCTGCCTTCTCATTGCCATTGGTGGGAATCAAAATCTGTTTCCCACCCCGATGGGCTTCCAGGAATAAGAATTTGTAATTGCACAAAGTTAAAACCAGCTCACCACCATCTCTCTTTTACCCCAGAGCAGTGCTTGGGGAGGTGACAGAGAAAGCCAAACCCTTGTCTTTGTCAGTTACAATTTGGGGGTTCATTTGGGCCAGGGCTGGAGGGACCAGCTTGGTTGTCCAACCTGGAGGTCAGAGGGGCTCCTGTGCCTTCCCCCAGCCACCTTCACCTTTGGTGTATTTATTTTCCACTGATTACAATTTCCGCTGAAGGGGAAAAAAAAGCAGGGCAAGAGGGAAAACTGCAGGATAATATTACCAAATAACGAAAGATGACATGCAGGGGAGGATGGGGAGAGGGAGGTGCAGAGGCTTTGCACAGAGCAGGATGAGTGTGTTTCACAAAGAAAAGACTTCAGTTGCCCCAGCGGGTTAGGAAAGATGTGAGACTTTTCATCCGTGATGTGGATGAGCTTTAGGGTGCTGGATGTGGCTTAGGTCACCTCCAGCCTCCTCTCTGGGCTGCTCAGCCTCGGGCAACGCTGCCTGCCCAAGAGTCTGGGGGTAGAATTCTGCTCTATGGATGCCATGGGGATCCACTAGGAATCACCCCAAATCTCTTCTCCATGTGGGAACACCCATGCTGGCAAGCCTGGACCACTCCATGCCATGAACTGGGGAGCAACAGGTCCTACCCTATGCGCAAAGGGAACAGCCCCTGTGCCGCCAGGTCAGAGCTGTGCTGGCTCAGCTGGGCACCAACCAAGCCCACTTTTCTGGTTCTTGCCTTTTCCTTCTGTGCTTCCATTAGTTTTCCATAGGAAGAACTAGGGGTTTCAGCTGCTGAAGCCTGGGCTCTGGGCTTGCCAAGGGGCCCCCCCATGCTGGCAGGGTCCCCAACCTCCCGCACTGCAGCCGCCGAGTGCTGTAAAGAGGTAATTTTCACTAGATTTCCACCGAGGCTTTGGCTTTGACTTACAACCCCCATTAGTGCAGGATAAATGACCTCCATGCAGCTGGGATCCAGACCCAACCAGCACGGACAATCCCAGCCACTCACATGCCTGAGCCTCAGGGACATCCCCGGGCAGGGATGCTCCCTTGGGATATCTTTCAGGGATGGGTTCCATCACCAGCTATGTTGTTTCCCACTGCGGGATGGCTCCTCTCTGGACAGCCAGTTTGGAAAGTTTCCTTGCAAAATGCTCATTCCAGAGCATGATGTTCACTCAGCACCATCCCAGCAACCTGGGATGGTCACCTCGGCCAAGTGCCAGCCTGTTTCTCCCTGAGATGATGCTACAAACCCCACAGTGTGCACTACCACATCCTGGGACAGGTCTTGCTGCATCCAACACTTGGTTTTGGGGTGCAAATACTCCCATTTTCAGGGATCAGGCAAGGAGAGAGTGAGTTCAACCCCCCTGAAGCAAAAAACCCAGGCTACATCTCCAATGTGTTTCACTTTCCACTGTGCCTCAGACCCTGCAGCCCCAAACAGTTTTCTGCCATTAAATTATTTCACACTTTCCATTTATTTGTGAGCAGTTTGCCAAAGACCTTTTAAGCTTTAAATTTTTCACACACCCCCCAGTCAAAATGATCAAATCTACTGTACCATTTACTTCCCTTCTCTGTCTGGAATGGCATTCCCCCCCCCCCTTTTTTTTTTCTTCTTGGGTATAATTTAAGGGCTGAAATAGCCTGGAGGGAATTAGCTGTAAATTCTTCCTAAGACAAATAAATTCAGCCCTCTAAGTTTCTACGTTTTTCAAACTGTTGAGAGACGTTTTGGGTTTGTTTTACTTGAAATAATGATCGTGGCATATCTGACCCTCAGGCTGCGGCTGGCTCTAACCAAATAAATAGCTTTTATTAATTAAGGTTTATCCTTAACAAATAAAACCCCAATTTGATCTTGGCCGGCTGAATTAGCAAAAATAAACAACGGGTTCTCTGGGCACTTGATGTGGATTTAACAAATTAACGCTGGGCCTTCATCAGGGAAGCCGCAGGGTGGTGGAGGTCTTTTACAGCCAAGAAATCCTTTGGAAAAACAATGTCTTTCGTTTCTCCCATGGTCTCTCTCGGTAAACATGTGCACTCCCTTCATCCCGTTAGGCACTCGGGGGAAGCGAGGAGAGCTCCGGCGATGACGTCCGCCAAAGTTTCATGTGCAATTGTTTAACTTGGTCCTCTAAA